GACCCCTCAGCTTTGGTGAGTCCCAGCATTGCTCAGCAATCCCAGTCTATAGCGGTATGAGAACCTGAGTGTATTGCCCAATGCAAAGGTTAACTTAAGTTATTTTTCCAGACTTGAGTTCCTCTTTACTTTTAGAAGGTGAGAAAATGGAAACTTGTTGATCACAGTGCTAGATATATCCACCATCCACATACGATATCATGTTTAATTCCTAACCATGACCCGGAGAATAGAAATTCTTATTCCTGTCATTACCAATGAGAAAACCAAGTCCCAAAGCAGGTAACTGGCTTTCCTAAGAACACACTGCTGAGGCTGAGATTCAAACCCGGGTCTGGGACTCTTGACTTTATTTCTTTTCTAATTTACCAGGCTACTTCAGGTCACCGAAAACCTTCCTATGTAGTTACACCTGGAATAATATAAACCTGCTCAAGGACATGCAGGGGTAAATCAACAAGTGAAAGTGAAATGTAGCTAAACCTGGAACATCAGACCTGTGACCATGCACAACTGATTCCAGGGACAAAAACAGTCTGAAGCCCAGCCAAATGCACTGGAGGTCAGGCCTGGGTCACCGTCCCATTGGAAACAGAAATGTCAAACGGGAAAACTAAAGCAGAAGTCCACGTGTGCAGACAGGGCCAGTTGGATTGCCGGAAGCCGGTCCATCCTTGCTGCTTGACACAGTCGCTACCAAACATATTAAGAACAATATGCTATATATGCCAGGTCCCTTGAAACATATGCTGTGCAGATGTTTCTTTCCTGCAGCGACTGTGTCAAGCAGCAAGGATGGACCGGCTTCCGGCAATGGATGAACTGTTTGAAAAAGCTCGGTGGCACCCAGGGCCTAGCAGACATGTAGCTTTACCTCAACAGAGTAATTCCAGACCCCACACACTGACTGTGGCTGCGTGCTTATTATTGGAGGACGTTTTGTGTGCATCTGCGCAGTTAAGCCTCACGCGGCCCTAAGGAAGAATGACTGTGTGGCACAGTTCAGCATGGTGGTAAAGAGCTTGGACTCCAGGCCAAACTGCCTGGGCTGACTGTGGGCTCCCATTAGCTCTGTCACCCTCTATCTCGGGAAATTTACTTTCTCTATGACCAAGTTGATTTGTAAACTGGGAATGATAACAATCTTTGGGGGCTGTTATAAGAGTATGAAGAGTTTCAAACAGTGCCTGGATCAGGGTAACTACTAGGCAAGTGTTTGGTAAATAAAGGAGACTGAGCCACTTGCACGAATTCATTAAAGGAATACACAAAGCTGAGACTCAAGTACAGATGGCATGAGCCCAGAACCCATGCTCGCAGCCCAGCTTAGAGGGTGTATGGATCGGTACCATCAGACAAAGGTGTCTGATTCTGCACGTGAGAGACCTCAGAAACTTCATCTCCGAGGGGACCAGGGAAAGCAGATATCAACATGATCACAGGATTCCTTTTTTTTTTATCTCTCATCCATCTTGGCTACTATCTCGATGGAAATCATGACATATTTGAAACTCATTTCAGAATCTCCTTTGCCCAAGACCCTTTCCAGAGTCCGCTGGGCACTTGTAATCTTTGACTTTGTATCCACTTCTGAATTCATCTCCATCCAAGTTTAATAATACTTAGCACTCTCTGCCTTCTGAGGAATCAATAATGGTGGACTCTAGCCAGAGTTTTTAAGTCAGAATATAAAGAATCCTGTTGAGTTTGTCTGCACCAGTAATCCCCTTTCCATGATAAGAAACATGCCTTACACTCACATCATGAAATGAGATTTTCAAAGAGCCATTACAGGTTTTCTCCCTGAACTTCCAAAAATAAGGTATTTTAAGAAATAAATATAGCTTTTTCTGTGAAGAAGGAATTGTTGCTTTGTGAGTTTTTTCTTCTTAACTGGGCAGGAAGCGAATAATAGCAATACATTGCTAGATCTGCTCAGTCTCACCAATATATGAGAATGTAAACTCATATATTGAATGAAAAAAAACCAAAATATTTTAGCTATGCCAAATCAAGTCAAATTAGGCTGTCTAAGATGTGTTGTCCCATGACTTTGAGTCCTTGGAAAGCATCCCAATTTAGTCCATTAGAGTAACCTTCTCTGGATTTCATATGCATAGACACATGCCTGGTGGGCAGAGACACGGTCTGAATTTGAGAGCAGGCATTTTGGAGTAAAGGCCACATCCCACAGTTCTGAGAGCAAACTTTCTCATGTGTTATTTTTCACAAAATTGCAAACCTATGAAAACAACAGTATGTGGAATATCTGCAGCAGGGTGTTGGGACATTTTCTTTAATCAGCTTTTGTGACTCACTGTTATCAATTTCTCCAAGTTAAAAGGGTCATATTTAGTATGTCTTCTAGCTCAGAAAATACAAGAATTATGTAGGTAAGGGATGCAATAGGTAATGGCAAGGAAATAAACAAAGACTTTGAAGTCACACACCCGGGTTTGAATATAATCTCAGCCATCAGCTAACTATGTGACTTTAGTTCAGTTATTTAAGCTCTCTAAACTTTGGGTTCTTTACTTTTAAAAGTACCTCAAATTATTGCCCAGCCAGCATGGCTCAGTGGTTGAGGGTCGACCTATGAACCAGGAGGTCACAGTTTGATTCCCCCCTCCTTCCCCCGCCCCTTGTCAGGGCACATGTCCAGGTTGTGGGCTCGATCCCCAGTATGGGATGAACAGGAGGCAGCCTATCAATGATTCTCTCACATCATTGATGTTTCTATCTCTCTCTACCTCTCCCTTCTTCTCTGAAATCAGTAAATATATATTTTTAAAAAATCCTCGGGTGAAGATTAAAGATAAATAATTCCCCCCCCCCCCCCTGCCATTTTTCTTCTAAGCTCAAG